CAACCTGCGCCGCCCGCCGGCCGCCGCCGGCGCGCCGGCTCACTGCGCCCGCCGCGGCCGCGCCGGGCGCGCCGCTACCTGCCCGGCCCGCGCGCCCCACCTGCGCCGCCGCGGCGCCCCCGCCCTGGCGGCGCCGGCCGCCGCCGCGCCGCCACCTGCGCCGCGCCCCGCTGGGCCCAGAGCCTGCCGGCGCCTGCTCACTGGCCAGCTCCGGCCGCCCGCTCACCTGCGCGCCCGCGGGCAGCCGCGCGCCCGCGTCACCTGCGCCCGGGCCGCGCAGGCGGGATCCGGCCATCGTGTGCGCGCGCCGGCAGCCGGGACCCCAGGCCGGCCCGCTTCCGCGTCCCTCGCGCGCCCGTGCTCCCGCCCGCAGCGGCCCGCGGTGGGGCGGCGACTCGGAGAGGAGCCTTCACGCCGCCCGCGGGGAAAACCGGAGGCCGCGGTGCCGGCCCAGGTGGGGGCGAGGAAGGAAACCCCGATTTCTTCCCTCCGCGCACTTATGCGGCTGAGGAAAACGGAGCTTAGAGAGGGTCGGCGGGCTCCGCGCAGGGCGGCGCGCCCGAGCCCGGGCCTGGGCAGCAGGGCGGCGGGGTCTGACGCCGCGGCGCGCCCCCGGGCGGCGGTCCCCAATCGCCGTCGCGGACGCCCCGGGACGCTGACCGCGGCGCTGCAGAGGAGCGAGTGAGGTGGGCGAGGCGGTTCTGAGCGCTCTGGAGATGCGACGGGCGCTGAGAGGCGCCGCGGGGCAGAGTGTAACGTGTAGCGTCCCAAACTTGCTTCGCCGTAGAAGAAGTGTAAACGTCTTCCCGAGCAGTGAGTGCTTCTCGGCACCCAGTTCGGGAAACACTGTCCTACAGCTATGTGCGTGAAGTGCTGGAGGAGGGCGTCTGATCGGGCCGTCTGAGATTCATTCCCTCCGGCGACGCGGATGAGCTGCCCGCCCTGGGAGGGCCCTGGCGTCGGTGCCTGGGTTCAGTCAGGGGTCTTCACTTACTGGCTGTGCGGCTTTGGGAAGTGTGTGACATTTCTAGACTCACTTTCCTCACCAAAATTACGGTCTCTGGTTGCTGGTGTTCTTACAGGGTTAGAAGAGTCTACGGAAGCAGGTAGGGCCCCTTGGCCCTGAGCCCCAGTGCTCAGGGAAGCTTTGCTTCTACTCTTTCTCAGGTACCCTGTTCTCTTCCCCCACCAAGCATCTGCTCTGCAAAATGTCCCTCTCTTCTGGCAAGTTTCATTTTTGTAGCTTATTCAGGGGAATCTTTGTTAAACCCGGCCCTTCTCACTTCCTTTCCCCGAAGGTCTGTAGTACTTTGTGGTGTATATAAGGAGCTCATGCCCTCGCTGCCCAGCTCTCTCATTAAACTGAAAATTCCCTGAGCACAAGGGATGGCTCCCCAGGCTCCAGAGGAGCAGAGGCGCATTCAGATAAGCCTTGACTGACAACAAGCACAGACCACACACTGGCACAGCCACACGTTGGGGCAGAGGTGAAGAAGGCTCGGTTGCTCTGCGCAGTTCACTGGGGAAGACATGCTTGCATAAAGCCACGTGGGAGTACAGAGGAACCCTTAAGCTTCTTAAATACAGCATTTGTTGTCTTGAAGGGAGTAGCTTCTCCGTGGGCACCTTATCCCTTTTGACCCTTAGATTGGGATGTCTGTACTGAAGGAAGGAGGAGTGGAGCCACCTGCAGGGATAACACAGCGCTAACACAGGATGTTGGCTTGTCCTTCCTGCGCCCTGGCAAGTTCCTTCCTGTCTTTCAGCACTACCTGCTGGTCCCTTCCTCTTCAGCTCACTACCAAGGTCCTGCTCCTCTTCCCCCAGGGGCTTCTGCTGTCATCCCCCTGGCAGCACATCTGCCCCTGTCCCTCCCTCCTGTCTGGGAAGCTCATCTCCATCTTTTCCCTTTCATTCTTCTCCCCAAAGGCCACTTCTGAGGGGGGTGGGCATTTTACCAGCTGTCTCTATTCCCCGTCACTTCTCCTTCTCTGCCAAGTGTAACACCTCAAACTTTGCCAAAACTACTCTCTCTGAAGTTACCACTGACATACTTGGGACTAAATCTAGCAGACTTGCTGACCACTTTCTCCTTAGCTTGCATGACATCACACAACATTTAACAGACAAGCCAAAGAAAAGGATGCTGAAGGAGGCCTAGAGTGGCAAGAAAAAAGCCACCTTCAGCATCCTTTTCTTTGGCTTGTCTGTTAAATGTTGGTGGAGTCCCTCCAGCTTCCTTCCCTGGCCCCTACTTGTCTACCTTCCGGGCTGATGCCACCCTGTTCATGACATTGTCACCTGAGGGCTGTAAGGTTTTAGAGAGAGAGAGAGAGTGGGGCCAAACAAGGTGGCCTTATTGAGCGCTCCCAGGTGAGGTTCGTGGGTCCCAAGAGAGGAGGCCCCAAGAAGTTGTGTTCGTTTGAAGGTGATGAGGGCTTTTATATTATTTTTTTTTTTTT